ATCAGAAATAAGAATTTAATACATGTTGTAAATATTGTAAAGATGTATTTTATATCTGCTTTATATTTCTCATTGGTTAATTGTTTCAAAAAGCCGTGTTGAAGGTTTTCCTACGGATTTCGCTACTCAGTGGGGATCATGACCAATTCCTAATAGGATGGGTCGATTTGAAAGGAACTGTTTTGGGTACTTTTTGAGAGAACATCAACATGGAGTATTTTAGGATGGTACTTGATTAATATCTATCTATCTATCTATATATCTATCTAACTATCTCCAAATATTAATAATAACACTAATATATATCTATCTATCTCAGTCCCCTTATCTATCTATCTATCTATCTATCTATCTATCTATCTATCTATCTATCTATCTATCTATCTATCATATTCTTTATCTATCTATCTCAATCTTTTCATATCTATTTATCTATCACGTCCTTTTCTCTCTCTCTCTATGTCTCTATCTATCTATCTATCTCAGTCTTTTCATATCTATCACATTCTTTTTCTATCTATCTATCTATCTATCTATCTATCTATCTATCTATCTATCTATCTCACTCTGTTCATATCTATATCTCTATTTCAATCTATTCATATGTATGTATCTATCTATCTCACCCTGTTCATATCTATCTATCTATCTATCTATCTATCTATCTATCTATCTATCTATCTATCTATCTCCAAATATTAATATATATATATATACATACATACATACATATATATATATATATATATATATATATATATATATATATATATATATATATATAAATATAAAGACAAATACATATAGATATACACGTAATTTAATATATGTATAGAAAATGTTTGTTTAATGTGTATATACATATAAATACATACACACACACACACACACACACACACACACACACACACATATATATATATATATATATATATATATATATATATATATACACATATAGACACAACGAATGAGAAAAAATAGAAGAGGAGAAATAATGAGGGAGAGAAGGAAAATGATGAAACATGAAATAGGAATGAGGGTGAGAAAAACAATCTACGGAGTTTGTGATAAAGAGAGAGAAAGAGAGAATGATAGCGAGATAGATAGAGAGAGACAGCGAAAGAAAGTGGAAGAAGGGAAAATTAAAGTGAGAAAAGGTAAATATATGTTTACTTCCGTGTTCATTCTTCTTTTTTGCGTTGCATAATATATTCATTATCATAATATATTCATTATCATAATATATTCATTATCATAATATATTCATTATCAAGCTATTAATGTAAATATCTGCCTTTGCTCTGTAAATTTTACATATATACTAATAAATATATATGCGTGTGTATTTCTGTGTCTGGGAAATTTCAGAGAGTATATATCTGTAAAAGGGCAATATGAATAAAGACAAAACAAGTACTTACCTTAGCCGAACCAATTTATCCTCTAAGGGTCATTATTAAGGCAAATATAAGAAATTATTTTGTGAGAAATATTTATATTAAAGAGCAAATCAAGTTAATGAGGTTCTATAATTTAATGTAAATTAGTATTTCAGTTAATTCCTGTGTTATATAATCTTCTCTCTCTATAAAAGGCAGGATGTGTGTGTGTGTGCACCGAATGCACGGCCGCAATTTTTGACAGATTTGCACCAAAATTTACATGCACATGCTCCAAGTTAGTGGAAAGGCCAACACCGATTTTGTATTTCCCAACTCCAAATAGTGGAAATAATCGATTTTTTCATGCTTCTACGGCAATTTTCATGTAGTTTGCGGCCATTTTCTACTGGCCAGAGTGAGAGCCTATAGCTGGCTGCCACGAATAGTGAAGAAGATTCTATTGGGCAGCGTGAGAGCCAACAGATGACTGACACGAATGTTAACTAGCATGTTAGCATGCAAAAAAAAAAAAAAAATCGATAGCTACATTCGTCACAAGTGGGAAAAATTTAAATCTGCATGGCACTTTACTCCAATTGGCTCATTCAACACTTTAAACTCAACGTTGATTCTGATTCCGCAGAACTGGGTTGGGTGTGCAAAAGTATTTGTTGTTAACATTCTTTTTCATTCGGTTTTTCCAGTTATGAGTCCTTTTTTAAAGCTGATCATTTTGTGTTCATTTTGTTTAGTTCTTTTTTCGTAACAGATTTAATGTTTAGTATAGAGCTTCGAAAACATTCGCAGTGTGATGCAAGAAGTAAGGCATGTAGCAACATTAGCACGGCAAAGGGCACTCCTTTAAAGGCAAAGGGGGAAAAATATTTTAAGTCAAGTGATAGCAATTGCTGTATGAGTCGTAAGATTTTTGAATCAAGCATGGGCAACGCCGGGCCATGCTGTTAGTATATATATATTAGTTGACATCGGAATCAACAACCAGAAGTGACACTCTGTTTCGCGCAAAACAGAATCGCCACGCCATATATATATATATATATATATATATATATATATATATATATATATATATCCTGTGGTTAAGGTCTTTACAC